TTGTGGTGGATTATTGGCGACGAAAATGGGTAGGGGGTTTGGTCGCGGCAATCTGGGGAATGGGGCGACGATCTGGGGGTTGGTCGCGACGATTTGGGGAATAGGGCGCGATATGGGAGTTGGTCGCGGTGGTGCTGGTTATATGGGCTCGTCTGGTGATAGAGGCGGCAAAGTGGCTGGGCTAAGGTGGTAATTAGTTGGTAAGTAAGTGTAATTATTAGATGTTAAACAAACTTTAAAAAATAAAGTAAGGGTAAGGTGGTCAATTTACTCTTTAAAATTTACTAAAAAAGGAAAGAAAATTTTTTGTTGTAGATAATAGAAGCATCCATTTATGACAAATGTTGCAGATAATCGTGGGCGGAGGTAGTACTATATTTAACTCTTAAATTTGAGGATGATGCTCCTTTCTTTTGTTGGCCTGTACCAACTTGGTCTCCTTAAACAAAATGATTTGATCAACAATAATAAGGTGGTTTAAATTACATTTAAAGTGATTTGAAATCGGGTCAGGAACAATTTGGGTTGAATTGATCAATAACAAGTCGTGTTGATTTTGAGTCGGGTTAGTAACAGATCGGGTTGATTTTTTGGATCGGGTTAGTAATAGGTCTGGTAAAATTCAGGTCGGGTCAATAACAAGTCGAGTTGAATTTGGGTCAGGTCAATAACAAGTCGGGTTGATTTCGGGTCGGGTTTGTAACAGGTTGGGTTAAATTCGGGTCGGGTTAGGAACGGGTTGGGTTGAATTCAGGTCAGGTTAGTAACAAGGCGGGTTAAATTCGGGTTATCATAATCAAAGTATGACAAGTAAGATTAATATGTAAGAATAAAGGAATTCCAACGAACGAATGTGAGAATAGGACTCTAAGAATATTTTTGAGCAACAATCATTATATTTTTCGGTACATAAGCGAAAGCTAAGCCTAGAAATTGCGAAGATACCCTAGTAAAAATAAGGACAACGATAAATGTACAAAGTTAGGAAGCTACAAGAGGGCTTCAGAATAGTGAAGCTCATGCATGCACACCAAAAATGTGGACCTTTTGGATCAGCTTTAAACACCCCAAATTGAAATTCATTTGTATATAACTTTTACTCTTTGGGACAGTATTTTTCGATTATTTGTTATCTGCAATTTGGTACTCGTAATAAGCTAGTTGGGTCAATTGATCAAGTCAACTGTCAAAGATCAAATAAATATAAACTAGAGTAATTAATACAGTCCGGAGTATTCCATAATACTCTAATATGAGAGTGGTATTATGTGCCGGTCTTTTGTCTTAACGTAAGACTATAATCTAAACTGTGTTACCTCATTTCCCGGCATTCCATCCCTTCCTCGGCCACACTTTTTATTTTTTTTAATTTTTTTTTATCTTTTCTTATTATTGCCTCTCTCTATTCTACGTATTATTATAAGAAGATTTAATCACAATATAATCCAGGCTTTTTTTTTTTCTTTTTTTTTTTGGTATGTAATTTAAACCAAATAATTATATTTTTTAATGATGTAGATGTGTCGCATTTAACATGGAACCTTTTGAATGAATTTGGCCTATTGCTTTTAGCTATGTATGTCGCATTTAGGCCATATTTGGTTTAATGTAAAAGGTTTTCATGGAAAATGAATTTTCTATTTTTTTTTCCCATTTTTCTTTGTTTGGTTTGTTAAGGCGTGAAAAACAATTTTTTAAAGGGTGAAAATTCCATCCTTAATGATGGAAAACATTTTCCTTCCCAAAACAAGGGAAGCCATATTTTCCTCTCTCCTCCTTACCTCTTTTTTTTACTTACCTCTCATCATCCTTACATTTCCACTCTTATTTTTTTTATTTTTCTTGGACTTTTCTTATATGCAACCAAACAAAGGAAAACTAATTTGCAATTGTGTTTTCCTTGAAAAAATGTTTTCCATGAAAACTAATTTTTCATTAAAAATATTTTACATTAAACTAAACGGGGCCTTAAGCAAAATTCATTTTCTTAACTTTCACTTATTTTCTATAGTGTTACATTAATTGCCCATCTCACTTTTTGTTTACATGTAAAATTTTTAAAATTAACTTAGTTATCCTACTATTACCATACTTACTTGTATTGTGATATGGATTATGGGGTTAGTCTACATGTCTTAATTAAGTTTCTATTTTAGATCTATGAGATGTGTTTATAAAAGCTTATAGGATGTTTTACATCTATTATACTACGCTACATAGAAATATATGTGAATGAAGGTAATATAAATAATTGACATTTCCATCTTATAAGAGAGATACGAATAGATAATTACTTGTAAATTTTAATGTACAAACTATATACATCACGTTATTATTCAATGACTAATTGACTATGTGATCCATTGTAAAGAGGCTCTCCTAATATATGTTTTCCCTAATTTTTTAAAAAATAACGATGTACTAGCAACGAGCAAAAAGTGTTAGTTTGATGAATTTGGTGCGAAAAAGATGGCAAGTGGTGATTGGAAAAGTAGAAAGGAGTATTTGCAAGGACGAGGCAGAGAAAAAGAGAGCACCTCACCTAACTTGAATGATTTGAATGCAGCCAAATGGTAACACTCTTGTGGTTTACCACATAGAATCACTATTACTTCCTATAGTATTTAATTAATTATTATTATTATTATTATTATTATTTTATATATATATATATATATATATATATATATATATATATATATATATAGAGAGAGAGAGAGAGAGAGAGAGAGAGAGAGCTAATCATCATCAAATCTCGTCCATCTATCATCACACACGTTCACCGTTTAGTCATGTTCATACTTACTAATCCACACTACTACATATTCATTCCATCATATTATTTGTTTTCCTTAAACCCCGGCGGCCCAACGTACGTGGAATTTAACATTCTTTCTTTCTCCCACGATTAAAGAGGTGGAAATTTACAATTGTGATCTCTTTTGTTTTTACCAATTTTTACTATATTTAGTAGGTGCGTAAGTGCGTTTGCTTCACTAGTACTCTTAAAATCTGAATTTGGCACACCCGACTCTAATTGTTGTGTCAATTCATTTGTCATCCATGTGGGATGAAGTTACACACCACCTAACATTATGGTTGTCTAGCCTACTATACATCTTAATTCAACATTCTCAATGAATCAATCAACTTTATTTGACATTAGGCTTAACACAATGCTTTCATATGAGTGATATGACTAAGTTATCATCATACATAACCTAATTAACATAATTAAATAAAGGATATTACTTATTAGATCAGATCAAGTTAATAATGGTTAATTCATTTACATTCAAAATTGTATACTTAACTAATTTACTTATTCTTCTTAATTGATGTATGTGTCATTAAGTAGTGTAGATCATCCATCAAAGTTGTTGAATCAAACCAATCTATTTTGGAAAACTTTTGTATACACCCGGTTTTCAGTAATTTAGTGTACATCGGGTACACTTTTGTCAGATTTAGTGTCACTTTTGTCAAATTTAGTGTCACTTTTGTCAAATTTATCAATGAAGCATAAATAACTCTTAAATATGTTAGGGTAACTTTTGTGCATTTTAGTGTAACTTTTGCACATTTTATAGTCACTTTATAACGGATGTTCAGTAATTTACTGAACATTCGTTTTATTTAAAAGTTTGTCATTTTACAATTACAAATACACAGATTATTAGTGATGCACGGTGGTAATAATTTTGACAGTAGTTACACTTACACGTACTTCATTCGATCAGTCCAACATGCAATTTATTATGTCCATTTTTATGAAATAATGTAGATAGAAAAATAGAATAAGAGCAACATGAGAGCATCTAGAAAGGTTGGAGACCCAGAAGGCGTTATGAATGTCAAGAGAGCAAGGAACACGATCCCATGGATACGGATCTAATTACCACGTTGTTTTCATTTGAATTGGAGTCGTCGTTAGTTGTAATCCCATATATATGATATGATAATTAGCTTAGCTGTAATATTTAATCAATTGGACTGTTACTTTAAAGTAATAACCAGGATCATTAATTAGTAAAAATTAATAAGAAAAAAAAACAAGGTTAGGGATCGGTGTTGATGATATATAGAAATGGGAAGCACATGCAATGATTCACAAAGACAATACTCTATTAATGATAGGACCAATTCATACATACATCATCGACTACTACTCGTATATGTTACTGCAAGGAAGCTTCACCTAATCATTATTATTCATTACTTTATTATTTAAGGATCCTTTTACTAATTACTATTCTCTCTCTCTTCACATATTGCCGACACTCACTATAACAAGTCAAGTAAGTTGGCGGAGTAATGAGCCATTTCAAATTTTGGCTACTTATGCAATTATACCATTTACGATTATTTTTTATTTATGCATCAAGTATAAAACTAACTTCAAGTATCACAACATTCTCAAGGATGGTTTTAAGTTTTAACCTCTATAGTTTCATTAAATTAAAGAAACATAGAAGGAGGCAGATGTTATAAGTTACGGAGTACTTTTCTTATGCAGTAATAATTATGTGGATCAGACCATAAATTTCAATTATTGTCGTACTCCAAAATTCATCAGAGGATTTTTATTTCTATGGTGGGAATGGATACGTGGACATTACAAAAGACAGTTGTTTTTTTTTTTACTATACATGTAATTGACATTGATCGATTAATGATTATATAATATAATACAAGTACAGAGTAACAAATACAGGTAAAGAATAAGTGCATATAACATGGGGGTGGCCTAATATAACAAGGAGTAACGTGAAACTAATAAACGAAGCCTAATTAATGTGAACTAAGGAAATGACTCAATTTCCAACCCTATAAACTCTACACTGATAACTACTCTTGTGTTAGTGTTTTTCGCTTTCTTGGCCTTTTCGTTTGGGAAAAAAATAAAAAGAAGAAGAAGAAAATCGTGACAATGCCATAAAGCCAAAAGAGAAATCACTATGACAATAGAAATGAATGAGCGGCTCACATGCACACCCCTATCCAATCAAAAACCCAAAGTATCATAGTCCCATACGCCTTTCCTTTTTCCTTTCATCACTTTATTACAAGACAATATGCATTATTGGCTATATATGTATGTATAATATAATTGAGACTATAATAATGTGAGTAATGAACTTATTAATGATCTGATCATCAATAACATTTACAAATTACTTTAAATTGTTCTTATTAGCTAGCTGTAATTACCAAGCCACAATTATTTTAAAAAGAAAAAAAAAAAAAGATAAATCGTATAAAAGAGTAAAAATTACACAAGCTAATTAATAATTAACACCAAGTACGTACTACTATGATGGAAGAGTAGCTAGCTAAACAATAGTCGTGGTAACAACTGGAAAAAAGGTGGTACTGGTACAATTGATGATGTGTGGGGACCCGATCCGACCCGACTGAGCCCGAGCGGGTTTGGGTGAATTAAATAGCGACATCAACGTGACAGCTACTAGAAATCTGAAACTTAATAGCAGAACCAATATTATTAAAGGCGTTACCTTTGTTATTGTTGTTACCAAAAGAGAGATAAGCAGGACAATTAGCATTCAAATGATATCTTCCGGAAACCCAAGTGCCAACCTTCCACTTAACACGGCCATTAACCTTAACGTTAATGATAACAAAACCGGCGTTCTGATCTTGTTGTAAGGCCACGCCTAAGAAAGGAGCAATGGGAACATTGTTGCCGTAAAGAAAGGGAGACCAAATAGTGACATCTTTATGACCTTGGTATGTGTACGGCATCCTCGTTGGTAGTGTGATCTGCTGGTTGCGGTAGGACGCGTGTACATCTAAGCGCTCGTAGTAGACTCCGATGCGCTCGTTTGGGTTGCGGGATGAAAGGGTCACTTGGAAGGTAGCCGTTAGAAGGTTTGGTGCGGTCACGTTGAAGGCGTAGACAGTCGCATCTTGGAGTACAAACCTTGGTTTGGTGGGGCGTAGGACTAGCCATATTATGAACACGACCAAGAGGAATAGGACTATGAAGGTTAAGATGCCTCCTATTAGACGATGGAATGCTCCCTTCCGATCGTCATCGTCGTGGCCGCAGTCTTTTGATGTCATCTTTTCTTTTCTTTTCTTTTTTGGATTAAATAAGAGGAGAATTCAAAGAGAAGAAATTAAAAGGTTTTGTGGGAAGTAAGGAGGATGAAGATATATACTACTACTCCGTAGTAAAGAGTGGAAGAAAGAGAGAGAGGAAATTGAGAGTGGAATGGGGTGGGTGGGAGGGTGAGAGTTTGTTTTGTGGAGGAGTTTTTTTGCAAAAGGAGTGTATGTGAATGTACTTGTATCATGTATGTAGGAGTGTCTTGACGCGTTAGGTGAAACTCGTTTATTTTTTTGATATTGTTGTGTGGGGAATGGGGATAAGTGAGGGGCTTAAAGTAAGTTTAGGATATAAGAGTACTTTAATCTCACACCTTAATTATATTTAACACATATAAACAATTATTTTAATTTGTCAAAAAATAGCTTTATATTACATACAAAGTTTCTTTTAAAACAAGCCACTTTCTTTTTCATTAAAACAAATAACAAACTACTTTAATCCCCCTTTTCATGTTTTATTAGTGACACCATTGCTCCATTAACCTAGCTACTCAAATGGATAAATTTTCTCCAATGCTCACAATGAGGATCCATGCATGTAGAATGGACAATCTAATTGGATTGGTTTTAGGTAGATTTTTCAGGTGATAAATCATATTAGGTATTAATCAGCATAAAAATAAATATTCTTCATTTGAAAGTGTTTTCTTCAGAGAACCCTCAATTTGATTGTAATGGTGAAAAATTGATTATAGCATCACTAGGTTTTAAGGACAAACTATATAAAGGTTTAATTAGAAAATAACACCTGCTAAAGACCCCGATTTTGTTTTTAACACCTGTTAAAAAAAAAAGTTTAATTATAACACCTCCAAAAATCCCAAAATTTTGGTTTCACCACCCACTAACAGATTTTTGGATGGAAACCGTTAGTGGGGCCACCATGTACACGTGTCAGTTGTTAATTAGTTTAAAAAAAAAATTTTTTAAAAAAAAACCTAACCCCCTAATCGAGCCAGCCACCGCACCGGCACCACCTGCGGCCAGTCGCCTCTTCCCTTCCCCTTCCCTATTTCCTACCCTGATTCCCAATTTCCGGCGCCAATCACCAATTTCCGACACCTCCCTTGCTTCCCCCACCCCAACCTAGCCCAGAAACCTTAGTCATCGGGAGCTTGGGACCGTTTTCGAAGGTGGGAAGGGAAGAGGTCGGTTTCTGGGTTGAGGGAAAGGAAGGGGAGCCGGTTTCAGTGGTGTGGGAAGGGAGGGGGCGCCGGTTTCGGCGGTGCGGGAAGGGAGGAGGTCCATTTAAGGGGGTTGCGTTGGGGAGGGGAACCGTACTTTGGCGGCTTTGTGAAGGATGATAGCGGTTTTCGAGGTGGGTTAAGGGTGGGGGAGCCGATTTCCGGTGTTAGAGGTGGTTCGGCGGCGAAAATCGATGGCTGGTGGTCGGTGGTTGGTGGTTGGTTGGTTATGGGGTAGGCAGGGGAGAAGGCCACCGTTTGTGGCTGGCCGCAGGTGGTGCCGGTGCGGTGGCTGGCTGAGTTAGGGGGTTAGGTTTTTTTTTTTTTTTTAAAATTTTTTTTTAAAACTAATTAACAACTGACACGTGTACATGGTGGCCCCACTAACGGTTTCCATCCAAAAATCTGTTAGTGGGTGGTGAAACCAAAATTTTGGGATTTTTGAAGGTGTTATAATTAAACTTTTTTTTTTAACAGGTGTTAAAAACAAAATCGGGGTCTTTAGCAGGTGTTATTTTCTAATTTGGCCCTATATAAAATATGTATTACACAGTATTGTACATATTAAGTTTAAGGAAGTAATAAATTAATTTACAATAAATAAACGTAGTAACACAGCAGAAATTGCAAATGGAAGGAGTACCAAGCTATATATATTTTTTTTAATATATAAAATAGGTATCATGATATTAAAAGTCCGTTCATATACAATAATAATGCTCGATAACGCTGTAAAATACAAAGTTAAAAATATTGATTATTTAAGTTGACAAATAATAACAATTTATAATAACTAAGAAATTTAACAACCATGCATTTAAAGAGTGTGATGGGTAGATGGTTATCCATAAATTTTTATGCCACTACATGTACGAGTAACGAGTACATGTTAATTAGCCAAAGAATAATAGTATATGGTACATAGTATCATAGTATATCGAAATAGTGAGTGAAGACAATTAAAATGTAGTGTAGTGTGTAGATGTCACTAGGCCATGTGAGTATAGTGGCGGAAAATGTTGGGCATGTGGGGATGCAATGGATCATCTTATCACCGTTGGACTCTATATTTTCATACTTTCTACGTCTACCCGTCTAGGCATTTGGACTAATACTTAACCAAGTGGATGCGAGTCATATCATTATCACCATTATTATCATCATATTATGTATTATTATTATTATTATTATTATTATTATTATTATTATTATAAACGACATTAGTCCATTCTATTAATTGAATTTTTGTTGACAATATGTGTCAACATGTATACACCGACCTTTTTTAATATTGTGGGCCGCGGCTTCTAATTTGATTCCATTCGTTCAGTGTTTTAGTGGAAGGATGACCGTATTCTATTTTTATTTAATTTTTTAATTTTTTAGGATGACTATATTCACAATTATGCGTAATTGCCTATTTAATTATTTATACAAGGTTGTTAGATTAAACTATAAAGATGTGCTTTGCTTAAACTCCGTAGCCCGTAGGGCATACCATCATAATTCATAGTGCATGCAATGGGTTTGTAGCGGTGGTGGCATATTGTGCACTTGTGCTTTATGTCGGCTCAAACAAGTGCCATTCTCTATTTCAAACAAATAAAAAGAAAAAAAAGTTGCCATTCTCTACCAAAAAAGAGAAGCAGCAAATAATGATTTCCTTTTCTTCATTTTAAAATTAAACCGAGTAATGGAAAATTATTCGAGTTTTAGCTGAAGGAAGGCCAAAGGAGAATATGATTGGGGAAAGTTTGGTAGATATTTTTTTTTTTTTGGTCACAAAATAAAAGGAATGTAGAGTTTATGTATATTTTTAAGTCTGGCCCTATTTACCATATACTCCACAAGTCCACATACACTGTCAATAGATACAAATCATTAGGCTTAATAATTTCAACTTCATACACGGAAAATCTTATATACATGATTTTTTTTTTTTTTTTTTATATATTTTCTTTTTGAAAGATTACAAAATTAAAGGAGAGTTATTCGTGTAAGACCACCTTATCATTATAAACGGTCTATTTACAATTTTGTAAAATTAAAAAGCTTTAGTACAAATTGTCAAATTGATATATTGTTGTACGAGTAGCAGACACTGAGTACTTGAGCAGTCGTTTTTTAGTAGTATTGATGACTCATGTGGGCATTAAATGTTATCATTGGTCACCATTTAACAAGTCATACGAGTAAAAAACAGAAATTTCATCAGTATTCCAATTAATCTTTAACCAATAATAGAGGCATTAATCTGGAATGAAATTTTATTACTGTTATTTGATAATCACCGTTTATTGTTTAATGCTTTTATAAGGATTTGTTCAAATATCATATGAAAATTATTGGAAAGACGAGTGGAGATGTTTGATGCATTAAGGAAACAATTGTTACATTAAATAAAAGAAAAGAGCACAACCATTACTTTACTAGTAATGGTGTTACTGCAGCTCCCTTTTTGTTTGTGCACTGAAAAGTGTAGTGCTTAAATTAGATGATTAAGGTAAAGCTTAGAAGTAAGGGCCTTAACCAAAAAGCTCTTTATTCATTTTGTAAAAGCTGCCTAGCCGGGGCTATTACATTCGTGACTCACATAACAAGACAAACACTATAGGCTACTTACAAAAATACTCAGTACATTTAATAACCTTCTTTTCAACCATCTAGTCTAGGAATATAAAAAATTACAAGCTAAGGAGTACAATTTACAATCATCATTAAAGCATAAACCAGATGAATTGCATACACTTATTGCGGAGTATGCTATTACATTTGTTTAATACGAAGTAATAGCAGCAAGTAAGTCCATTATACTTTGTATTGATCAACAACTTATAGTCTAGCTTAGACATGAAATTATCACTAAATCATGTGTTACATAGAACAACAGTTGTCTGTGTGTCTCTAAACGAAAGATGTGAAGTAGCAAAGCACAAAGGCAAATTCAGATGTGCGTGTGTGGCCCGTATGGTTAAACAATCAACATCCTTCTTAAACCTTGACAATGAAAAACAAAAGCTGGAATGAGTGAATGGATACTTTGGTGTGTACGGATTTTAATGATATGAAAGAGGAATGCAATTCATAGTGGTTTTGTTGGGATTATTCATAGGCTGCCTTAGTTTTAATTTTAAGTTATATGGGCTTGCATAAACATTACATTAGTTGTGTAACTAGTCTTGTATACTTAAGCCCAAGCTTGTGGTTTAGGATGTATTGTATAATTGTATACTCTAATATGCAGTTAAGCCCAAGTTTACGTACATGCATTGAGGGATTAATTAATAGCATATACACAAGGATTTATTATCGTATCCACTGTCCTTGGATCATTGTTTTATAAATAGTTAGAGTAGGATAATTTCAATGGTATTTCTCCAACAATTACTCATTTTCACTTGTTTCAACACCCTTCTTGTCTTCAAAGTTTTCTTCATCTTCATGGTCATTTCTTATACCCTTCTCGTCCTCTTCTTCTACATCTTCGTGGTCATTTCTTAGACCCTTCTTGTCCTCAAAGTTTTCGTCGACATCTTCATGGTCAATTCTTAAACCCTTCTCATCTTCAAAGGTTTCTTCATCTTCATGGTCGTTTCTTATACCGCACAAGTTGCCATATTCACCTTCACTTTGTTGCATGGGTTCTGAATAGTCGAGGCTGATGTCTATCTCAGTCGTTAACATAGAAATTTCTACTCCATCAGAATTTGGATCAGTTAACTTGACTTGAGAATCAATGGAACAAAGATAATCTGATAACCTTTGCCTTTTTGCTTCCTTCTTTTGTAATTCCATCTTGCAAACACTATATTGATCCTTCAGCTCCTCAAACTTTTGTTTAGAGAACTCCAACATGAGTTTTGCAGATTGTAACTCATCAACGGTCAAACAGAGTTGATCTTGCACCTTTTTCAGCTCCTCAAGTTGTATCACCTTATCTTCAGAAGTTATTAATTGACTTTTAGTAGAGTCCAATTCAACCATAATTGATGAATGTTCATTTTGTATCTTTCCGAACTCTACAACCTTATCTTCCTTCTCCTTCACATACGAAGAAAGCTCATACTCAAGCTCTTTCATTCTTTTGTTCGAGGACTCTAGCTCAATCTTAGCGGATTCTAACTCGGATTTGACTGCGTAGAAATGATCCTCTATAATTTGGTATCTTGTTTGCAGGTCTTCAATTTCCTTCTTGCAAGTGGAAAGTTGTTCCTCAAGCTCCATGGCTCTTTCCTCTGAAGGATCTAACTGGATCGTGGTGGATTGTAACTCAAAAGTAGTCAAAGAAAGTTGATGTTGCACCTTTTTTAATTGCACTTCCATGCTTTGTAATTCCTTAACACAAGTAGAGACTTGCTCTTGGAGCTCTTTTAACTCTTTTTTAGACGACTCCAACTCATCCTTGTTAATTTGTAGTTCAGATTCCATTGAAGAAAGTTGATCACTCGCTTCACGCAATTTCGTTTCAGTATCCTCCTGGACCTTTTTACAAGCTAGAAACTGCTCTTTTAGGTCTAAGACTTCCTTCTGCGAAGCTTCAAAACTAGCTTTGGCAGATAACGCCTCTGTCTTGGTAGAAGAAAGTTGTTTCTCAAGATCTATCGCCTTCCCTAATTTCATTTCCATGTCCTGTCGAACCTTTTCACGAGCTGCAATTTGTGCTTTGAGCTTTTCTACCTCCTTTTTTGAGGCTTCCAAACTGGCCTTTGTAGACGAGGCCTCAACCTTGGTAGAAGAAAGTTGTTTATCAAGTTCTTTAATTTTTTCGTCAATTGTTTTAATGGTGGATAATTCTGATCCCATTTTTACAATCTACACTCTATATATGAAGAGCTCTTTAACTTTTCTCAAGTGAATTTAATAAAACAATAAAGGTATATTAACACAACAACAACGAGAGGTTGCAAAGGGCCTATGAAATGGAAGGTTAGAGGTTAATATGTTGGATATAGGCAGGTGTGGCGAGGACAATGGAATTGAAACAATAAACAAAGGGTCACAAAATATATATTTAGGGATGAAAGGCTAAACCAGATGCCAAGTTACCCAAATGCAATATTCTTTGATTCTTTTCAAAAGCGTGTTTAGTTTGAGATGCCAAAGAACAAGTCCTTGTTGCAGACTTGCAGGTTAGGAAAACTGAATCTCATGGAAATTTAGCACCAAAGGACACGCTTGTAATCTTAGCAAACATATGGTATTTGTATGTTACAGTGGAAGATATATGCAGAACAGAGTAGCTCAGATTAATTTCAGAAAATCCATACTTAAATACGGAGTATATATTTGCCAAATATAGAAAAACCGAAAAACCTTAACAAAACCCTTAAACTCTGGTTCTTATTGTACAGAAGATAGAGCATGCAATGATGCAGGGCAGCAGGGGGCATTATTTCTTCACCCAATAATTTTCTTGGAATTTTCTAATCCATTGATAACATTATCTTGACCTATATCTATATACCAGGTTTTGTGCAACTACATTCTATATGACGAATTAAGCCCTCCTACACTTAACAATTAATCTCAATAAGATAAAGGGGCGCACATCAACCACATTCCACATAATCTACAAGTAAAACGATTGCAACTTGCAAGGCTTAAAACTTTAGTTTGTATTTATATTAATCCTATATTCCTATTATAAGTGGATATTAAGAGTATATTTTACAATAGTATTTTTATTTAGATTTTTAGAAATTACTTGGTGGACAAAAAAGTTTGCACGCAAAAGCTACCAGCTTACCCATGATTAGCAACACCAGCTAATTTGCCTAATTGAGCTATGTCTTCAATGAAAACTCATATAGACAACTTATTCCATACAAAGTGCAAATGATAGTTCCCAAATACTATGATCCCTAGACATATACGACGTAATTTCTCTGCTTTCTTGTAAGACACCGAGAACATCACATTCACAAGCAAGTTCCTTATTTCCTCTACCCTCTTTCACTAATATCAAATATTATAGGCCACAACAATCCTATGGCATGTTATGTTCTCTATAGAACCGCAAAGATGAGAAGCATGGAGAATCTATACTGCTCCTTATAACTGTTGTTCTTAGTATTGTCTGTGTATGACTGTATGTATATCATTCTACCATTTATCTCTAATATAATATATCTGGCCTCCTTTCCAAATTCTAACATAGAAATGAGAGTCCATCTCAAAAAAGCTAATACTTCAGAAGAAACAAAACTTTCTCCTAAGTCCTAACAACATAATCAAAACTCAAAAGCATATAATGACATGCCACACACTACAATTATAATGGAAGAAAATTATAAGCACTTGCAATTGTTTATGAGAAGAAAAAATATAATCCTGCACACATTAAGCTGCCAATTACTAATCATTCCATTATATTCTTAATTATAGTATTATACTAGTATTTATAAATACTTGTAATTGTATAACCTCAATAGAAATACCTGTACTCCACCATAACCAAACAAAAAAGGCAACTGCAATGCTCTATTGTCATAAAACTTTGATAGAGAAGTTGATAATGACTCAACAAAATGGAGGCGCCATTGTCATTTGCAATTAACTTAACATTAAAAGATATACAAAGTCTTTCACTTTACAAAGCGCTTTATTTATATTTCTTTCTTATCCTCTTCTTAAATCAGTAAGTAATTGAGCATGACATTAGGTTTTTCACAGGGCATAATAATATACAATTCATAAGTGTACATAATTAGTTACCAGTTACCATCTCTATCTACAGAAACAGTGAAACACTAAAAACATAAATAAAATAACAAAAAGCTACAACAATCAAAATGCCTATGATTTTAGTGGGTGTCATACCGAAACTCTGTTTCATGATTCATGTACAGCCAATTAATAGCAAAGAAGAAGATGAAGAAGAACCAGTATCAGATTCCAACAGAACAGCGTCTGGGCCCACCTGATAAATTCCCCTTGGTAGAATTGGATGAAAATGAAACAGTTAAATCATCACAGAAAACCCTAAGAAACCGTCTTCGAGCTCTCCAACCGCCGGCCTTAAACCTCACAACCGCCATCATTTGAAGATCGAATTTGACGCTACCACTTGAACGATCATCCTTCAATTTGTTCACCAAATCCGAATTAAGGTAAGCAGAGGAAGCTGCGAGATGAGCATCCATGGTAGTTATACTCTTGGTGCCCTGATCGAACGGCGGGAGTTGATTCTGAGAAAGCAACGAGTTTCGGTAGAACAAACGAGCCTCGATTTCGTCGTAGTAGACATGGAGTTTGTGGTTAGGGTTAGCGACGGAGAAGTGGAGGGACCAAGTGCCGGAGATTTGGGAAGGAGAGGTGGAGGTGTTGAGGGAGGTCAGAGTCAGAGAATCGACGCTAAAAGACGGGACGCGAGGGCGGAGCACGAGCCATACGATGAGGAGAATGACGCCCAAAATGATGAAAACAGCGATGAGTGCCGCGAAGAAGCGCCGGAAGAAGGTGGCGCGTGGTGGAGCAGGGTAGTATGCTTGCTGCGCGTTGTGGTTATAATTTGGGTAATAGTAGTTGGATTGTGGTTGTGGCGGTGGTGGGTAACCGTTTTGGGGTGGGGCCGGATAGCCGGTGGCAGGTCGTGGTTGGTTTGTCATCGGAGAGGAGAAAGTGAAGGCGGTTTTGCAGAGCAAATTTGGAGAGGAAGTAATTTGGAGAGCAAGTAATTGGGGGATTCTTAAGAGTGGAAAATATGCCACTGTAAAATGGGTTCAAATAGAAAAACAAGTCGTGATGCCAACAACATACCTTTTTGCTTTTCTTGATGATTGCATATGTACTTGATTCTTTTAATATTGTCTTACGTCCCTCTTCTCTTCACCTTAATTTTAATTCATTTCATTTTCATATTTCTTCATCTCATAAACAATTTATTTTAGCTCAGTTTAGTTTAACTCCAATCTATTTAATTCAATTCAATTCTTAATTTCCTTCTGTTATAAACAATTCATTTCAGATCAGTTTAGTTTAACTCCAATCTATTTAATTCAATTCAATTCTTAATTTCCTTCTGTTATAAACAATTCATTTCAGATCAGTTTAGTTTAACTCCAATCTATTTTATTCAATTCAATTCTTAATTTCCTTCTCTTATATTCAATTCATTTCAGCTCAATTCAATTCAGCTCTAATCAATTTAGTTCAATTCAATTCAGTTGTTTTTAGGGCAGGTGTCCTGACACTCGTCGTTGGCTTAGGCGGCCGTTCACAGGGTCCCGAACTTGTCGGTGCGGACCTCGCTCAGCCGCTCACCTGCCCAAACACTATAATATGAATGTCGCCACCCGATAACAATGGGGATAATGGAGCAGTGGTAAACTCATTGGTCCTCTGGGGGGGGGGTTCGAGCGAGCCCGATGTGTAAGGAGATGATGCTTGGTTAGGTTTTATTCATCAGAGGGTAGGTGTAAATTATACACTCTCAATTTCATTTTTTTTGCTTCATATATACTCATTATATCCATTTTTTCTGATTTATCAATAGAAATTTAATTTTGTTGTTTCTAGGTTGTTATTATGTGTGTGTGGATGTATGTATTTATGTATGTATGTATGTATGTATGTATGTATGTATGTATATTGTTTTTATGGACATATAGAATTTCTATGGCCAAAATATGTTCTCATGGATAGGAAACTTCATGGTTTATACGAGGCAACATCTTATGGACAAATGAACATAAATCTATATGCATGGACATTGGACGGTGAAGATGTGACATCATTTTCCGCACATGTACTTTTGTTGGATAATTGCTTTGAAATGACGCTTTTGTTGTCGGTAAAACCTTTAAAAAATACCCTACAAAAGGTTCGTGTGAAGGTTCGTATGTCATGCCAACATGTAAGTGAAGAGCAGTTCAAGCCTATTATTGCTGATAATTACAGGGATCACAGGCCAAACCATTTTTTGTTTGAGTTGGACCATGCTCAAACCGATAAGTTAATCTCATTGTTCTCACCTTCTCCAGTTAGACAAAGTGAAAGTAAGGTTAGAATATATCACAAATTGTGATGGTCTCACTTTATAAAGGTGTTAAGTCACCGAATTTAATTTATGGTGTCAATGTTGATGCCATTAATCCAAAGCAGTGCTCGAGTTCCCATAAAATGTGATAGTACTAATCAGTTCAACACATGTATCACATCGCATTTTTTATCTTTCTAATTTATGAATTTATATCATGAGTAACATGCACACCTTATAGTATGATATATATGTCTCTACATTTGTATATTAATCATCGATCATACCCTAATCAAAGCTCTAAATCGATGTCGTTGTAGTCTCCACCATCTTTCTTCTTGTTCTTCTTCTCCTTACCTCGTTGATATTGATCGTTGCTTGACGAGGTCATTTGATTGAATTTTAAGTTGAGATTGGAGTTTTTGTTGATTGAATTATCTTTAGAATGAGAAGTCAGTCGAAAGTCGAAGAATAAAGGTGGAAGTGCTGCTGGATTATAAGAGTGGAGACAATGGGTTCAACCACATTTTACTATATACGCCTCATTATGACGCGGCGGATGCTGGAAGGTGCATTGAACTAAGTAATTGATAAATGTTCTGTTTATGCCAAAAAAAATCTGTTTCCCCTTTTCTGTTATTTTTTGGTGGTGTTCACTACAATTTTCTTGATGATAGTGGAGGCGTATATAGTAAAATGTGGTTGAACCCATTGTATGAGGTTTTTCAATCTATTTTGGTGAGCTGCGCAACCGAGGTATTAGGAGGGGATGAAGGGTGGAGGATGGAGTGAATATATGGCCTTATGGAAGATGACCTTGATGAGTTATCTGCTAGAAGAATAGAGGACCTAGAACTCACGTTTTTAAGCCAAATATGAAAAACCCTCTACTTCTCCTATTGATTTAAGCATGAATATATATAGTACAATAGTGGAAGCAATAATATCCTAAACTAACTAGGAGACCTAGTTTGCAGGCTTAACATCTGACTCCTAACCCAAATTAAACTAGGAAATACAACTTTATCACATGCATAAACTACAGGTGAATTAGACTACTTTGACACTTATTCGGACCTACTTAAGCTTACACTCATGGACTCCAAACTACGCTTATAACTAAATTACATCGCAAATAATCGTTCTAAACTAAAATAACATAACTACAACTTGAATTAGAGTATTAGACCACTCGATTGTGGCCGGAAACTGGGCAGCAAGCATGTCTACTCAAACTAATCCTCATCTCATACCATTTCACATATACATGAACAGAATAGAAGGAGATAAAATGGAAAATTTTAAGTGATTCATATAAATAAGCGTAGATGTACACTCATCATTCACAATTGAAATGGACATAAGCATTTTCACATAGACCTTAACCTTATAGTCACAGAATTTATCCTCGAAAAATCTAACTCTTTCTTTGCAGTCTTTCCGCAGTGATACCAGTTCTATCAATTTTCGAGCAAAAGAGCACAACAAAGTCCTTCCAAAATGGATTCTTGAAAGATCTGCCAATTGATCTCTCACGCTCTAGATGAAGAGAGAGAAAGTGTACTGACAGAAGAACCCTAAGAACAATTGATCCATGTGTACCAACCTATTGGAAGCAATCCCTATATCGAAGATTAAAGAACTTTTGGGTTTGCAATTTGAACAACCCTCCATACTTTTCTTTTTATTTTCCTTTTTCTATAATTTGCATGACTTACATCAATAACAAAAATGAGAAAGAAGAAATCCAAATTCTTCCAACCTTACTACATACATAAATACATACATACATATATACATAAATACATACATACATACACACACACATACACACACACATACATACAATATACATCCATACATACACACACACACACGTTCATACATACATACAAAACAATGTTTTTTATGATCTTCTTCTAGCAAGAATTTTAATAAGAAGAAAACATAGGGCCTGTTCTTTTCAGCTTAAAATAAGTTCAGTTCAGTTCAGCTCCTATAAATTTAGTTCAGCTCCAATAAGTTCATTTCAGTACACACACACGTTCATACATACATACAAAACAAGGTTGCACACATCAGCGCCAGGCGCCAATGCTAGCGCCAGGCGCTAACCCTATTTTTGACGCGTTTTCTAAAATCAGATAAATTTTGCCGTACAGGAGGATAAAATCGTATCTTTTCCTCAAAAATGTTCTTTGTTTTTAATTAAAACTCTGAAAAGTCAACAAAAGTCAATTTATCAATGCTAATTGAATTAGGAATGAAAAGAACCTTCTAGAAGAATTTAGAAGACTAAAACCATTCCTGAATGATAAATCATATTAGACCCTCCCCTAGATCATTAGGCCGCACATAAGGCTCAAACCGGGCCCAGTTCAGTAAATTGGCCATAACTTCCTCAATATTCATCGGAATTGGGCTTATAATATATCGTTGGAAAGCTCTTGGCAAGCCCCATCCAACTACACTATTATTGGACCCATATCATGGACCAAACAAACTGGATTGACTGTTTTCTTAAAATAAGTTTTCAAAAACAGAGAGAAGAGAAAAGAAATTACAACTATCCGCAACACTAAACTTTCCACACTTTCACTTCATTCGATTATGATTCGACGTGAAAGGTACTCATCACTGGGTTTGATTTTGGGGAGACACAAATGGGTGTCTACAGAAGCCCCCACTTTGACTGAGTTTGGAGAAACGCGAGTTTCGAAAACGAAAGTCAAAGTAGCGATAGGGACGGAGAATGATTCAGAACGTTCTGCGATCCTAAATCACACTTGTAACGCCGATACCTGCAAACTAGCGTTAGTTAAACAGATAAAAGAGTTAAGAAACGCGTATCTTGCACCGTCGAGCACACGTCTCTTAAAGTAACCGATTATTTTGATGACCTCCTGGAAGCTAGAGAATGCCATCTCGCTTGAAAACCGCTACGCCTGTAACTGCTTCCAAATTAGAAGATTGCTTCGCCTGAAACGATCCTCCTCCGCTTTGATAATATTCCACGTCCAAGGGAATACCATCGAAGATTGCTTCTCTTGAAACAATCCTCAGTTGTTTGTGACAACTCTCCATAATCTAGGGAACTCCACCTTGCTGTTTCGATGTTCACTCGTCTCTGAACAAAGAGCTTCTTTTTTTTGAATATGTCCACGCGTCTCTGAACAATAGAGCTTCTTAATAGGATGCCCACGCGTCTTTGAGCAAAAGAGCTTGTAGGAAATGTCCACGCGTCTCTGAACAAAAGAGCTTGAAAATAGGAGATCCTTGATCGATGATATATCTACGCGTCTTCGAACAAAAGAGCTTTTGAATGATATGGCCACGCGTCTCTGGAGAAAAAGAGCTTGATGGAAATGTTCACGCGTCTCAGAACAAAAAATTTCAAAATTAAAGGCTATTATCCATGCTTTTTGTGCAATTTTTTAGGTTACGAGGCCCGGTGGAGAAAAGTATTAAGACCCTAGGCGATACATCTTAGGATCATATAATGCCGTTTGGAACTATGTATGACTATTATATAATGTCATAAATGTCCGTGGTAGGCTTGAGTTCACAAATTCGGTACAAGTTGCGAATTGGTAAATTGATCGTTTTAAGGCAAATTGTATGGTTCCACCCACTCAATTGGACTCCCGGAGAATATTAGAGACCATGGTAAACATATCGACAATTTTTATATTTTGGCAAAAAAAGGTCAACAAATTCCAAAATTAAAGGCTATATTAATATATTTATTACCCATGCTTTTTGAGGAATTTTTGAGGTTACGGGGGCCA